GAAAGAAAAAGTAGTTGAATGACCAATGCCTTTAAAAACAAAGGGATCATTAATGCCTTCCAAAAAAAAAAGGAAGTTGGCCGACTGATTTTATGTTTCTTTTTTCGTTTTCCTTCTTTTTGTTAAGCTTGTGATCTTATTCTTCAAGACATTAGAAGGATTTCTTAGGAGTTTACTAAGCTCGTCGACCTTTTTCTTGTAAGTGTCCAAACGGCCACACGTTATGCCACAAATGCAAGAAAAAAGTACATGTATGCCCAATTTGCCGCCATGAGCTTGGAAACATAAGATGTCTAGCGCTGGAGAAAATTGCTGAATCGCTGGAATTGCCATGCCGATACCAAATTTTTGGCTGTCAAGACATATTCACCTATCAGACTAGGCTTCTACATGAGCAGAACTGCAGATTTCGACCATACAATTGCCCGTATGCAGGATCTGAATGCGCTGTTACTGGTGATATTCAGTACCTCGTTACACACCTAAAAGATGATCACAAGGTTGACATGCATGATGGGTGTACCTTCAATCATCGTTATGTCAAATCTAATCCTCAAGAAGTTGAGAATGCTACATGGATGTTGACAGTGAGCTCTCTCTCTCTCTCTCTCTCTCTCTCTCTCTATCGCTCTCTCTCTATCGCTCTCTACCTTTGTTTAGGGAGCTAAGGGAATGTAGGGGTTGGGCAGCGAGGGTATTATTTATCATTCATTGCACATATTGCGGGTGTTCTATACTATAATGTTTATATGTTTTTTTTGTTTACCTTGATACAATTGCGAATCGTCATGCATGCAAACAATTTCCTTTATAAAAAAAACAATATAATATAGATTGAAGGTCTAAACAGAGATCAAACTTAGTGAAAAGATATTTTACTTCCAGATCTGAAAATTGCAGGTTAAAATTGCCTTAATGATACCTATCTGAAAAAAGAATGTCTATCATGAGAGTTGAGAGTGTTGGTTTGGTCGCTCTTTCCATTGAATGTGTGAGCGGTGTCATCCCTCAAGTAGACAACCAATTTATATTTGGCGGCTTCAGTCTTTCCATATGTCCTCAGTCTTGTGGAATGATAGGTCATTGAACATTTTAGGTATAATGCAAGTGGGAGTTGTTTGAGGGTTTCAATCTCCAAATCAACATATAATCCATGGTTTGTATGTGTCATTATGTGTTTAAGCGGGAAGCTCGAAATATAGCAGTATAATTATGCAGCTTTCCTGCATAAGGAAAACTTCCAGTCTGTTTTTGCTCTTTTTGTCAACAACCTAAAGTTAAACAACCTTTCTTGGAAGATGGCGAAATCCCAATAACATTCGCATACCCTTCTAAATCATCATCAACAACAACTATGCCTCAGCGTCAACCAAAGTTGGGGTCGGCGATATGAGTCTTCACTTCATTCTTTAAACTCAACTAATAAAATCATCATTACCAAAAATAAAATGAAAGTGAAAGGAGGAATAGCAGCTCAACTTTCACCTTGTTGGTGAGGAGGATTCAATTCCCCACCTTATATTTTGTTGAAAGGTAAATCGAGGAGGGGATTACAAGGTGGGGAATTGAATCCTCCTCACCAACAAGGTGAAAGTTGAGCTGCTATTCCTCCTTTCACTTTCATTTTATTTTTGGTAATGATGATTTTATTAGTTGATAAAAGTGAAAGTGAACAATAAGGTGTGTATATATATAAATAATAGTAATAACAATAATAACATTAGACCTTTTAAGTCATCAGTGAAAGATTTTTTTAGAAATCACTGTAAACCTTCCAGGAAGATCTGGACTAATGAGAGAAACAACAAATTCAAGTTGTTCTACAAACAGCTAATTCATATTGCTCTCTAGCAATAAGTCAGTTGAAGAGTGAAATTCTGAAGCTGTTGTCTATGAAATAGAGAAACTGATGGCTGTTTCTGTTACTTTACTTTCTTAAAAGTTGTAAGATCTTGGCCTCCTATTAGATACTTGAGGAAAATCTGCTATTATTAACCTTTTCCAAAGAAAGAAGGAAAAATATTTTGTTACGTCTTAAACTTTAGGTTCATCATTGACAAGAAAGGTAGCTCTAATGAAAATCCCTCTCCACCTCCACCTTACAGTTGTGGGTTCGAGTCACCATGTTACCATTTAAAATAAAATAAAACTTTCAGGTTCATCATTCATCGTCATGTTTGCATTGTAGTTACTGCTAGGAGGCTCGTATTTGCTCCTGTAGTTATGTTCAGCTTTATCTTTTGTGGTTGAAAGTGAAAGCAGACAAAAAGCATGAAGTTGTTTTGTTCTTTGCTTATTAATTAATCTTCCGACTAGCATTTGGTGCTGAGGAAGGAGTTCCTTTTCTGTTGATTTTTTCCTTCTGTGCTGCTTGAAAAGGTCATGTTGGTAATAGTTCTTTTGCTATTCTCTGGAATAGGTTTTCAACTGTTTTGGTCACCAGTTTTGCCTGCACTTCGAGGCTTTCAACCTTGGATTGGCACCAGTGTACATGGCATTCCTTCGTTTTATGGGTGACGATGATGATGCAAAAAGATTTAGTTATAGTCTTGAAGTAGGTGGATTTAGCAGAAAGTTAACATGGCAAGGAGTACCGAGGAGCATCCGTGATAGTCATAAAACTGTTCGAGACAGTTTAGATGGCCTGATTATTCAAAGGAGCATGGCACTCTTCTTCTCTGGTGGTGACAGGAAGGAGCTGAAGCTAAAGATAGCTGGCCGCATTTGGAGAGAACCATTATAAACTAGATAGGGGCATTTTGCGCAAATGGCCATTGTTGAGACCACTATTTAAATTGTGCCCCTGTTAGTTCAGTGGGCTAAATTTGTTGGCAAAAAGGCGAAATTTAGTTCATTGGGATAACAGAGACTGAATTTAAAGAGTGGCCTCTTAGAAGGCCGTTTGGTGCAAAATAATCCGACTAGATATACTCCTTTTGCTGCAGGAACCCCGCTGCAGGAACCCCTGAAAGTATAGTTAGACATTCCTGATTGGTTGGTGGCTTATTTTTTGCATTTCTTGTAAATGGTTACTAGAAAATCTGCAGATGGTTCTATACAGTTCCTGGTTTTTGGATCGATCAATCGATTTGTAACGAGTGTAGTGTAGCTCAACTATGGACCCATGTTATGGTTATTGCTGGCCTTGTATCTAAAGTTGTGAGGCATTTAGGCTTTTTTGACCAGCCATATGATAATCTATGTAGTAGTTAGTCTCTTATCTATTGCCTCTTGAGTTTTTTATTTGTCTTTAATCTTATAGTCCTTTAAATTTTGAACCAACTCAGTGAACAATGTGTAGACAAATGGTCATATGGGAAAGCCTATAATGACCTTCAGTAGCCTTGGTGGGCAAAATCATATGGTACATATGCTTATCCATTAGTACAACAATTATGCTCAAGTTTCAAACAAGTTGGGATCTGTTGTATGAATCCTCACTTTCTTTATGCCCAAGTTTCAAACAAGTTGAGGTCGACTGTATGAATCCTCACTTTCTTTCCGCTCAACTCATATCATCTATCTCTATATTATGAGGATTTATCATTAATGGGTAAGTTTTGCGCTGGTTGTCAGCACACTGCAATCTTCCTTTTTTATCCGGGCTTGAGACCAGCATTGTGATTAAGCTCGCCCGAGCATACTGCAATCTTCCTTTTTTATCCGGGCTTGAGACCAGCATTGTGACTAAGCTCACACGGGCGGAGTTGCTTGTCCATCAGTCAATGTAGTAATTTTGTTCCAACATTATATAGTAGTAACTACTAATAAGCATGCAAATCACTAGTTCTAGTTCATTGGGTGTAAGAAGTAATATTTTGCCAAAGGCCTTTTCTTGTCTCACTGCGCATAAATGACCCATGACTTTCTATTTGGCAGATATGACAGTGACTATTACATCTGAAAATTTAGAAATGTTTTTCACAAATACATATGCTTCCAAGAAAATTCTATCTATCTATCTTCCCTTCTCAACCATGCTTGTTGCAACTTCTAACTAATAACAAAAGAAAGAAAAACAAGGAGGAAGAAATACCATTCTACTATCAAACTATAGGAAATCTCTTTTTCTTAATCACTACTAAGGATATTATAATATCACTATTTAGGTAAGTATACTTAGAGATGTAGCCCTTCCAGGGGTAGGGCTAAGGCTGTGTACATCTAACCTTCCCAAATTGCACTTGTGGAAAACTACTGAATTTGTTATTGTTGTTGTATACTTGGAGATGTAGATATTTTTACGAAAAAAAAATCTCCTCTTATATATAATAGATGTAGATACTAAAATTTGTACTTTCCTATCAAGAGATACTACTAGACACTCTGATGGAGTATATGTTAAGCAAATAGACATTATCTAATTCAACTTCTAATTTTTGAGAGACACTAATAAATAGGAGGTTAACAGTGTGTTTGGATGGTTGTTACATGTTATATTGTATCGTATTGTTACTTTAAATACAATATTTATTTTGATTGTTACATAAATTTTATTGTATCGTATCGTTAAATTCGTCGTTACGTAACGACGAAAAGTGTCACTTTATGTAACGACGGATTTGGTGTGGTGGCATCGTTATCTTGATTTTTTTCTCTCACCTTGCCCTTTCTTATTATTAAATAATCATATTTTATCATTTATTCTACCTTTTTATATAATAATTTCGCTTCGTGTCCTATTTTTTCTTAGTCATATTGCAATCTTCATATTGTTTGTGCGTAACATCATAAAATGACGGCAAATGATACAGTTTATCCAAACATTGTATTCATCAAACAATACAATACAATATACTACATTACAATACGATACATTATAAAGCGACACGTGACAACCCTCCAAACAAGCTGTAAGCTTGAATCAAGTCAAGCTCATATTCCGAAAAGAAGAGGTTTAAATTTAGTTTTTATCCCTTTTTAATCATCTAAACATATTCCACTAAATTAAAAATAGAGAGGCCAATAGTCTCAGAATGTAATGAAAATAAAATGATTTTCAACCCTAGCCAGTGCAGACAGCACAAAGATACAAATTCCAACCTCAAAACTCAAAAGGTAGAGAAATACCTCTACAACTCTCACGACAACCTTAGATTAACAGAAAGAACAAAATCATAGTACAATGCTAATCCGATCACTTTCTCCATCAAAGCTGAAGAAACTCCTTCTACCACTTTCTCTCTCACCATCTACACACACAGCTCCTATACCCAACTCAATACCTCCAATTCTTGAAAAAACTCTTTATACCCAAAACCCTGCTAAAACCCTATTCCCTCATTTCTTGTTCAGAAACTTCTCTACACCCTCAAAAATCCAATCTTTACCACTTTCTAGAGATGGGAATTTTGAGGAAGTTACTTCTAATGTCATTTGCCGTGGTTGTGGTGTCACTATGCAAGATTCTGACCCAAAACAACCAGGGTATTTCATTAAACCTTCAATTAAAAGCCCAAATTATAGAGAACGCATTAACAAGAATCCAATTGTTGATGAGCCAGAAATATCAGTTTCTCTAAAAAGGGGTTTGCTTAATGAGGTTGTAGAATGTGAAAATCAAGAGAATCTTGAAACCCCATCTGAGAAAATTGAAAAGCCAGTAGTTTGTGCTAGGTGTCATAGTTTAAGGCATTATGGGAAAGTTAAGGACCCTAGTGTAGAGAATTTGTTGCCTGATTTCGATTTTGATCATACTGTTGGGAGGAGGTTGATGTGGAGTACGGGGGCGAGGGCTGTTGTTTTAATGGTAGTTGATGCATCAGATTTTGATGGATCATTTCCTAGGAAAGTAGCTCAGTTAGTTTCTAGGACAATTGAAGAGAATTCCCGGGCGTGGAAGGAGGGAAAATCAGGGAATGTACCTAGAATGGTGTTGGTAGTTACAAAGATTGATCTTTTACCTAGCTCATTGTCACCTACTAGGCTTGAACATTGGGTTAGAACAAGGGCGAGAGAGGGCGGGGCGGTTAAGTTGACGAGTGTGCATATGGTTAGTGCAGTGAGGGATTGGGGAGTGAAGAATTTGGTCGATGACGTAGTGGGATTGGCTGGGCCAAGAGGGCATATTTGGGCAGTAGGGGCACAAAATGCTGGGAAAAGTACATTGATTAATGCAATAGGAAAGTGTTTTGGTGGGAAGGTAACTCATTTAACGGAGGCTCCGGTGCCAGGGACTACATTGGGGATTTTGAGAGTGGAAGGGGTACTTCCAGGGAATGCCAAGTTGTTCGATACCCCGGGGCTTTTACATCCTCATCAGATTTCGACGAGGTTGACGAGGGATGAGCAGAAGCTAGTTCATATAAGTAAAGAGTTGAGGCCAAGGACATATAGGATCAAGGTTCATAATTCTTTTCCTGGCTCCATAAAAAATGTGTTATTTTTCTGCAAAAGCTTTCTATTGCACTTCATCTTCAATTTGAGTGTCTAATTGCAAATATCTCCTCTGCAATTTGTTGACTTTGTGTGGATCCTTCTTCCTGAGACTTCTATCATACAAGTATTGGAAGAGGAACTTGGATCTTTATCACTTAAAGCTCCTTTAGTTTTCCTTGCGTAGTTAAAAAGGAATCAACATTTGCTAAAATTTGTTACTCCTATTTCTTTCTCATTTTTGAGCAGGTATAGTGGCTCAATTTCTCTCCTGCATAATGCATTTCAGTACTTGTAATATGTTTCAGTCGAATATTTATGATTGCCTTATGATCGTTTCTTCTAAACTTACTTAACAAAAATGTTTGTTTCTCTTTTCCCTTTTGTAAAAGAATTTGTTCAACGGAAATGCTCTGTCTGAAGCTTCACTGCATTGAAAAAAGAATCTAATGGCAGGTATGCTCAGGAAAGATATTAACCGAGATTAGATTATTAACCTTTGAAATGCACGTGGATATGTGACATTTATCATTTCTTTTTACCTACCTCCATCAGATGTGTCTGCCTATGCTTATAGTCAGAACTTTACTTGAAGACCTGCTTTCTCTAGTTTAGCTTGCGCCATCCACTTTGAAATCTAATGATTTCATTACTTTCTGTGGACAGGGAGGACATTCAGTTCATATAGGCGGGCTCATGCGGTTGGATGTGGAAGAATTATCTGTTGATTCTGTGTATGTTACAGTTTGGGCATCTCCGCTGATTCCACTTCATATGGGGAGGACAGAGAATGTCAGCACAATGCTGGAAGAACATTTTGGGCGTCAGCTGCAGGTATTATTTGCTTTAGGAATTGAATTTCCTCCTATGTCTCTTTCTAATTTCAAATCTTTATTTCTAACATTATTATTTTGGCTGAAGCTTTCGGTATTGCAATTTTTATTTTTTGTTTTGTTTGCAAGCAGTTTGATACTAATATTGTAAATTTAGTTAAGTAGAAAAAATACTATTGTCAACAGCAGATGGTAAATTTGTTGTGTTTCTGATTTTGAGAGTGTGCGGTATCACCTAAAGCTTGAAGCAACCTGGATTCTGTCCCCGATTTTGAGTGATAGGGTGAAAGAACTTGAAAGTTTTGCTGAAGGTCTGGGCAACCCAATAGCAGTATTTT